GGGCTGCTGTGGGGAAGAAAGGAGCCCAGCACAGCTAAGGGGCTGGGTGGGCACGGGGCCATGTGACCCACCCGCTGAGTCACCCTCTTCACAGAGCTCGGATGCCAGATATGGAAGCCGGGCCTGCCGCAGGCCTGTTTGGGCCTGGTTGCTGGGAGCAACTTGCTAGGCCCCGCGGGAGGGCCCCCATTTCCTCCCCTGGGCTGAGGGGAGCAGAGACAAGGGCTGGGACTAAAATAAGAAGTGGGAGGCCCCACCCCAGGCCCGTGCAGGCCCCACCTCAGCCCCTCAGCCTCACCAGCCAATGGAGTTCCCCATGATGGAAGGGAGACCCTGGAGAAGTGGGGAGAGGAGAGGCAGGGGAGGGGGGCAAAGGTCTCGAAGACCCTGGGCATTTCCTGTCTCACAGGAAAGGGCGCCCCCTGTGGCTGGGCAGAGCTGGGCAGGGCGTGCTGGCCCTCCTGGCTTAGGAGCAGCTCTCTCCTGCCCGCCCAGGTGTCTAAACCTGTGGCCAGGCTGACTTCCACCCCAAGCCTGCCTGTCCGTTCCTCCATCTCCTCCCTTTGTCCCAGCAACCCCTCCCACTGAACATCCCCCCTTCCCTCCCTCCATCTATCTATCCAAATCCAGCCCCAACCTGAGCCCGCCTTAGCCCCAGGCTCCCCCGCCCCCATCCTCTTCCCAAATGTGTTCAGCTGTTGTTATACCTGTTGGTTGATTTTCTTTCCACTTGCACTGCATCTCTGGGCTTTTTCTGTATGTCCCCTGATGCCCTGACACGAGGGGGTTCACCAGGCTCCCCCGCCCCCATCCTCTTCCCAAATGTGTTTAGCTGTTGTTATACCTGTTGGTTGATTCTCTTTCCACTTGCACTGCATCTCTGGCTTTTTCTGTATGTCCCCTGATGCCCTGACATGAGGGGGTTCGCACAGACGCTCAAGGCTTCTAGAGCAGTGGTTCTCAACCTTCCTCATGCCTCGACCCTTTCATACAGCTCCTCATGTGGTGGTGACCCCCAACCATAAAATTATTTTCGTTGCTACTTCATAACTGTAATTTTGCTACTGTTGTGAATCGTCATGTAAATACCTGATACGCAGGATGTATTTTCATTGTTACAAATTGTACATAATTAAAGCATAGTGATTAATCACAAAAACAATATGTAATTATATATGTGTTTCCCGATGGTCTTAGGCCACCCCTGTGAAAGGGTCGTTCGACCCCCAAGGGGT